GGACCCGGGCTGGATTCAAACCCGCCACCTTAGGTGTGTGTGGCTGGCGCCTTAGCCACTTAAGCCACAGGCACCAAGCCGCAACTAGAAAACTTTAAGACTACATTATCAGATGGGAAATATAAGTAGAGCCCCAGATATTTATATGTATACTTGCAAAGTAATTAAGAATTTACAAGAAACTTTCTAGAATTGTGACATGGCAAAACATTATTAACAGGGTACCCAGGCAGAAATACTTACATTATCTTTTAACCTGGATTAATTTAGTTGAAGGTTTAAAAAAAAAAACCCACATGCACACAAACTAAGGTGAGAAATGTGGTATCTATAGAAGTCGAAGACCTGAATAATCCTTTAGAGCAGATTGTTTCCTTAGTTGTATGAATGTAAAGCAATACTCACTCTTCTTGGGGAAAATCATAGTGCAAGCTTTTTTTTCCCTGAATGCAGATATTTTAGATTGAGAAGCTGAGTATATTACTTGGGCATATAAATTATTGTTTTTGGTGAAAACATGCTTTGCCACTGTAGAATTACTGTGGGGGATTAGAAATGTATACATAGAAATGTTTTTTATCTTTGTATGGATACAGAGATGTGTATGTTCTTGTTTAAGCTGTTGCTTGCACAGTATCAGAAACATCCAAAAGACCACATGATGGATATTAAGACTTGTTTTTCAGGGGACTGGGTGCGGTGGCTCACACTTGTGTAATCCTGGCACTCTGGGAAGCCAAGGTTGGTGGATTGCTTGAGCTCAGAAGTTCTCAGATCAGCCTGACCAAGAGTGAGACGCCTTCTCTAAATAGTGGAGCGCTGTAGCTGGTGCCTGTGGTCCCAGCTACTTGGGAGGCTGAAGCAAGAGGATCACTTGAGCCCAAAAGAGTTTTGAGGTTGCTGTGAGCTATGATGCCACAGCACTCTACCAAGGGGGACAAAGAGAGACTCTGTATCAAAAACAAAGAAAAAAAGAGCAGTAATTATCAACCCACGCACCATCAGAGGATCTTAGGTGTGCTGTAAAAATTTTTAAAGATCATTAATGAAATTATTTTTGAAAGAAGTTCTAAGCACAATAAATATATTCTTAATTCTTTCTTTGTTTGGATCAACATAATTTAAGTGTGCCACAGAAATTTGACCATAGGTTCAAGTGCGCCATGAGATAAAAAAGGTTGAAAAACACTGAACTAGAGGAACTGAAACTAGAAAAGGAAAAATGACACTGAACACTATTTAGTTCAACCTTGACTATATATGGGTAATGTCCTACATGTGTTAATTGTGAACAACGCAGACTTCAGAAGATCTATCAGTGTTCCCCATTATGATCTATTGAATTTTTTCTATTGGGCGCAGAGGAAGAGGTTATATCCCCAAAGAGAGGAAATT